ATATATATATATATATATATATATATATATATATATATATATATATATATATATATGTATATATATATATATATATATATATATATACATATTTATATATGACTAAAATGACCAATAAAATGACTTCTACCACATTTTAACACCCATTATTTATTCACTAGCACAAGGACTAAAGTGCACAGAAGTTACACCCACGGAGGATCTTCAATGTGCACGGACTGTTTCAGAAGGTCCAGCACCTCGTGCTCAGAAACAAAGCGAGTTTTGTTTGTACCTGAAACCTCTCCTGTCTGCACGGTGAAGGGAATGACCAGACTGAAGGGACGCAGAGCCGGCTCCATCCCATTCATCTGACTGAGCACATCATTTGTGGCCTGAAACCAGAACCAGAGGGGAGGAGTGTCACTGTCAGCAAACTGGGAGTTCTGGGAATGGGTTCAGAGGAAGGAGGAGAGCCTGATATACTCTAAACTGGTTTTATGGGTCCAAAACCAGTTCAATCAGACACACTAAACTGGCCCATCACAGAGACCAGTTCTACACTGGACCTCAGCTCCAGGTCTGGTCTGATGAGAAAAAGGAAAGAATCTAAAAATAAAAAGTTTAAATCAAATTTGAATAAATCTGAGCCCCTTTTCAAATCGTGAGCATGAACCAGAACTCTTCGACAACCAGTCAGTCAAACTGGGTTGGTACTGATGACGATGACGATGTTCAGAGATGAAGGTTTGCAGCAGCAGATAAACAGAGGGGAGAAAGTAAAGCTGATACCCATCGAGGAGAGAAGAGCGGCTGTAACTGAAGTGTATCACACGGTTCCTCAGTTATCGGGTCGGTGTCAGCGGCCTGAAGGGGAACAGCATGCAACATGCACACACACACACACACACACACACACCAACAGGTTCATGAACGTCTCCTGGAGCTGCAGCCTTCACACATTCACACGTTAATGTGAAACACTGCCGTTTGTCAACAACAGCTACAAAACATATTGAAGAAGAGCTGCATTTTATAAATAGTTCATCTGTTTCATTAGTAACTGTTCACCTTTCACAGACGTTCAAAGTGAAAACCCTGAGGATTACACGTTTAAGTCAATTTGGGAAGATTTGACCCAAAACAGTTCCAATAAAGAATTCAGAATCTTCTGTTCATAAATCGCCAAAAGTCCCAAACCACAAAACTCAAACCTGAGCCAAACTAAACCAAACCAACCCACAACAGGTCAACTCAACCCAAAGCAGCCCAAACCAACTTAACCCACCCAAACCAATCAAAATTAACTTAACCCAAAACAACTTAACCCAAAACAACTTAACCAACTTAACCTACCCAAACCAACCCAAACCAATCTAAATCTACTTAATCCAAACCAACTTAACCCACCCAAACCAATCCTAACCAACTTTAACACACCCAAACCAATCTAAATCTAGTTAACCCAAACCAACTTAACCAATTTAACCCACCCAAACCAACCCAAATCAATCTAAATCTACTTAACCCAAACAAACTTAACCCACCCAAACTAACCCAAACCAACTTTACCCACCCAAACCAATCTAAATCTACTTAACCCAAACCAACTTAACCAACTTAACCCACCCAAACCAACCCAAATCAATCTAAATCTACTTAACCCAAACCAACTTAACCCACCCAAACCAACCCAAACCAGCTCAACCAACTTAACCCACCCAAACTAACTTAACCAACTTAACCCACCCAAGCCAACCCAAACCAATCTAAATCTACTTAACTCAAACCAACCCAAACCAACTTAACCAATTTAACTCAATCTAGCCCAACTTAACCCACCCAAACCAATCCAACAGTAGGTGCTGACTCACCACCACGTGGAAGGGGCTGTTGGGGATGTGCTCGCCCCCAAAGCGGATGGTGATGATGTACTGCCCGGGTTCTGGAGCCGTGTAATAAATATCAAACGTCCCGTCTGAGTTCTCCACCACGTCCACGTCCAGCTCTGCGCCGTCCGGTGTCGACACCTTGCAGGTTACTTTTCCTTTCCCAGCAGCCTTTGCATCCACCGTGATGATCGTCTCCTTTCCGATCTGGATGGTTGGGCCAAGTCCAGAACCTGATGAGGAACATTTTGAATAAACATTTTTGTTCATGTCAGTCTGCTCCTTTATTGTTCAAAGTGTTCTTCAGAATCACTGAAGGCTTGTAAAAACTCCAGCATCATCAGCTTTCTTCTCTGAAGACCAACAGGAACTCAGGACTTCCTCTGAAAGAATCTGAGACAGGACAGACAAACTGTTCTGAAGAGCATCTGTGAGCTTTACTTTGTTGGTTCTGTCAGGACACGAGTTGCTCTGGATCAGTTTTATCTGGTGGTTGCAGGTCTTTGTTGGTGGTTTGGGGCCATTTGGAGTCAGAATCAGAGTTTAACATCAGAGCTGAATGTTGAGTTCACGTCAGGTCATTTTTCCTTTTCAAACGCTTTAGATCAACACATTCCACCTTAAGAGACACTCACCGAGTCCATGTCCTCCAATGGACACTGCAAGAAGACAACACAGTCAGTGATGCTGAGACAACCCAGAGACACATGGTAGAACTGGTGGGCGGAGCCTGACCTGTAACCAGACACTTGCTGGCGTCTCCTGTGGGCACGGCGTGGATCCGGTACGGTGAGTATGGGATCTCATCTCCTCCGTACTTAATGGTGATGGTGTACCGACCCGTGACGTCTGGGATGTAGGACACCGTGTACGTCCCGTCCCTGTTGTCCCGGATGTTCGCCTTCTTGGGCTTTCCCTCCGGGTCCTAGTGTGAACAGGACATTTGCTACTTTTAGCTTTTAGCTAGCCTGTGTGTGTGTGTGTGCGTGTGTGTGTGTGTGCGTGTGCGCGTGCGCGTGTGTGTGTGCGTGTGTGTGTGTGCGTGTGTGAGTGTGTTAGTGAAGAACGGTGTTAGCTCATTCAACAAACCAGATGGAGTCAGTCCACATGTAGACCATGGGGGGGATTGAAAGTTTAAGTTAGCAGCAGATGTATTGGAGTGATGTTAGCAGCAGGACCTTCTAACCAGACCTGAGGATGAATCCTGAACCTGTTCCCGGTCTTGCAGACGTCGCCTGGTCCTCAGCAGCTTCCAGGTGTTCCACCGTCCAAAACAAAATCCAGATGTTTCCAGACTGAGGAGGAAGCTGGACTTTGATCTTCAGACGAGGTCATGGTCCACCCAGGGACTGTAGGGAACCCAGACCATCAGCCCTCCACTACCTTGCTAACAGCTGGGATGAGCTGCTTGCTGCAGTGCATTCTGGGTAAAGGTTTGCTCCTGAGTTTGTTTCGGAGCTGCTCACAGTTTGACCTTTGTCTTTACTAAATGAGGACGTGCTGCTGAGGACCAGAGGACATAAACCCTTTGGACTGAAGGGGTTTAGAGATGTGCTCTCTGTTGCAAGGGGTGAGGAAGCATTGAGGGTGGGGGTGGGGGGTATATATGAGATGAGATGAAGGCAGAGAGAGTGCAGGCCTTACGCAGCCTCTCCTCAGAATACTGAAGGGGATGGTTTTCTTTACTATATGAGTGTCCCACACCCTCCTGCCCCAGTCCTCCACAGACACCGAGGCCTCGCGCCGGGACCCGTCCGGATCCTGCAGCGACAGCAACACCCGGCGCACTGGGTTGGCTTTAAGACTCAAAAACAGAACTGAAGAAGACCCATCAGGGTCCAGCTAACCTGCTCGTTAGTTTGCAACAAACCAGAGTTCATGATGACATTTGTTCGGTCGAACCATCGTTTCCAGTTCCAACGATGGAAATAAAAACCCACAGAAATGTTCTGATGCTTTAAGGCCACTGAGGGTTTGGAAAACTAGAGCTCACCAGGATTTGAACGCTGAGAAGTCCCTCCCCTGCATCCCTGGCATCAATGGTGAACTCCACCGGCAGACTGGCTGGGACTCCGGACGTGTTCAGGCCCGGACCGCTGGCTCGAACCTTACTGGCGTCGTGAGCCGGTAAGGTTTTGATCTTAAAAGGACTGAGAGGAGAAGATCAGAGAGGTTAGACCTTCATCAGAAGGATCAGGGTTCCTGAAAGACTCCTCTGGCTCAGCTCAGACCTGCGAGGGACCTCCTGGTCAGCGTATCTCACACACACCATGTACGGGCCATCGTTGGCAGGAGTGTAGCTCACCGTGTGAGTGCCGTCCCCGTTGTTGGTGATACTGACGGGCTCGGCCACACCTGGAGATCAAACAGAAGATCAACAGGTGACATGAAACTCCTGGAACACAACAGGCTTTGGTCTGGGAGAGGATCCTGGTCCAAACAGGAGTTCACGAAGCGTCTCTGAAGGTTTCTGACACAGAAGTCTATGGGTAGTGGTGGCGCAGAGGTTAGAGAAAATGGGACTGTGATCAGAAAGTCGCAGGTTCAACTCCCTGGACTGACAACATCAACACATGGGTGGAAAAGGTGAAGCACCAACACCTGCCTCCACCCTCATCTGCCCCACTCTGGGCCCCTGAGCAAAGCTCTCAACCCCCACCATCTGCTCCCACACAGGTCTCTCTTGACGAGTGCTTGTGACTCATGAGACAACCTGGATAAATAAAGTTAAATAAAAAAAATTAAGTAAATAAATAAAGTCAGGACTAATGGTCCTGAGTTGTTTCTCAGGGGGTGGATGTGAGACTCAGGGATGAAAAGATGAGAACATAAGGAACTATCTACATCCAGAAGAAGCTCTCCAACCTTGAGGACTGCATGCAAATGGTAAATGGACAATACCTATACAGCTCCTTTCTATCTGATCCAGACACTCAACCTCCTGTGCCTCATTTACACATCCATACAGGACTCTACTAAATCTGTACAGAGACTAATCAGATCTGTAGGTCACATTCAAACACAGATGGGACACATCAGAGACAATGAGGGGTTCAGGGTTTTACCCAGGGACACTTCAGCATGTGACTGCTGGTGGAGTCAAACCCCCAACTCTTGCATTGGAGGACAACCACTCAGCCACAGCTGCCCACACATGCAACAGCTCAGTGTTGCCCCTATGAGGTTTAAACAGATTAGTCGACACATGGGTTAGTTAACTGGAGGTTACTGGGAGATGAATGCACCACGAGGGAACATGTTGACAAAGAGAAGTGGTCTGAAAATACAGCCTCAGTGACCAAACTGAGTGAACCTAGATGGTGCTGGTCCAGTGAGACCAGTGGAGAAGGATGGTCTGAGATGGTTTCATGGGTCTGAGGCTGTAAAATGCCAGGACACTGGTGAGAGGGTAACCTTCATTGGTCCCAGAAACCTCGGTTTGTGACACATGGCTGAAGATATAGAGTTCATGTTTGCCAGGTTGTGGTCCAGAACGAACCCGACGTGTTTGTGGTGGGTTGGTCCATGTGAAACATACAAACATTCAGTAACTTGACAGCAGATGATTGACAGCTTGGTTTGTAGTCTTACCTGTTGGCCCGTAGAGCTGGACCTCCAGGGGAGCCACCCCAGCCTTGCTACTGTCTACAGTGAAGGTCTGAGGAACGTGAGCTCGGACTCCACTCCCAAGACCAGGACCTGAACATCGGACCTTACTGGGATCGACCAGCTCTTGCACTGGGACACGAAATGGACTTCCTGTAAGAACATCGGTGGTCTATAAAATCCTGCGTTCAGTCATGAAAGTCTGAAGCTTCAGGTCAAAGGTCAGCAGGAACTCTCACCTGGGATAGGAAGCCCTCCGAAGGTGACGTTGACATCATACTCTCCAGGAGTGAACGGGATGTACTCCACACTGCAGCTGCCATCTTTGTTATCTTTACAGGACATTTTTGCTTCTGATGGACCCTCAATGGCCAGACCCAGTCCCCCAGTCCCTGCACTCCTGAGGACACCAAACAGGGAGGGGGTAAGAAAGACTCCAAACACTCAGATGTCTTCTCATTGCTACTATAAACACTTGAAGCATTACCTGGTCTCAACAGTGAAGCGGTTTGTTTTATTCACCAGTCCTTCCTCCAGACCTGGACCGAAAGCCCGGACTCGACTGGGGTCACAGCCCTCAGTGACTGACACCCTGAAGGGGCTCTTTGGGACCGAGACCTCATCGATGAACACTTGAATCAGGTGCAAACCTGCAGGCAGACCCAGAGGAGTCCAGGTTCAGCTAATCTCTGAGACATTAACTCCTAAACCTTGTTCAGTCCAATCACGACAGAAAAGTTTGTTGATAAACTCAGGATCGCCCCCTTGTGGCTGTCAGACAGAAGTGAGGATCTACGTATGTCCACAGTGCAACGTCCAGGTTCTTTATTTGTCATACACACCACATGCACCATGTGCCATGTGGTACATGTGGTGGAACAAAATTGTGTACACAGAGTCCCAGTTACATCCAACAATAAAATGTAAAAGAAAGACAGTAGTATTGGGCTCCAGCATGCTTCCTATCAGTGGAAGATGATCTGCTGCTTCACAGCCTGCATCTAATAACACCAGCAGTTAACCCCCCCACACACACACACACTGACCATCCTCATGGGGGGTGTACTCCACCCTGTACGTCCCGTCGGCCTTATCTGTGATGAAGGTGTTGGTGTTGGCGCCTGACGGGTTGGATATGTCCACTTTAAGGTGGCTCCCTCCATTCTTGTAGAGAGCTCGAGCATCAACGATGAAGTGGGTCGTTACTTCCCTCAGGACTCCTGCAAGGGCAGAACATCCAAAAACGTGAGGAGCAAAGATCTGCAGGAGGTTTCTAACTACGGTGTGCAGTGGTGGGCACCATTCTACTAATCTGCTGATCTGCTGATCGCAGAGCTAACTTTCCATGTAGAGGGTAAATATTTGTGCTACCTTTGGAAACCTCCAGCAGAATGAAGTCCTGCTAAACTTAAATCTGGTAAATTAAAGTCCACAATTTTTTAAGACAGTTCTCCAAACTTAAATCTTACATACAGTACAACGGTGATCTTCAAGGAGCTATGCTAGGTGGAAACAGGCAAAGCTAATCACCCCCCCCCCCCAAACACCCCCCATTTCTACCCCAAACTCTGACTACGGTCTCTGACTCCTGGTGTCAGATTGTTGCTGATAGCAGAAACTTTAACAGAAATTAAGACAAACCAGAACAGGAAATAAGACGAAAAACACATTTTCACACTCAGAAACATCATAAACAGTAAGAAACATCGAAAACAGTCAGAAACATTGTAAACTGTCAGAAACATCATAAACAGTC